TTCCTGAAACTTTCAGAGACTCTTTCCACAGAGGGGACACATGTTGATGTAGAAGAGACATGAAGAAGAGGGGATACATGTTGATGTAGAAGAGACATGAAGAAGAGGGGACACATGTTGATGTAGAAGAGACATGAACAAGTGGATTTTGCATAATAGGTGACCTTTAAATACGACGTTATCTTTAGGCGAATTGTCATATACTGTATTTCTGAATTATTCGAATCGCCATCTTACTGGTCGGCCAAACTGGTTTATCTGTTAACTTTAGAGGGAGATGAGCAGAGCAGGTTTCAGGTAAATAAAACATCCATCTTTGCAGGAGAAGCTGCTGTAACTAAAATACAAGTTAGCTCACAACAAATTGAAAATAAATAAGATTTTGGAGAGAGAAACATTAGCTTCCCCACCGAGAATTCGATGAGAGGATTGAAACTAATGTCATGTTGGTACGTTTAAGCAGGCTGGAGTCAGGATTCAGTTAGCCTAGCTTAGCATAAAGACTGGAAGCAGCCTGGCTGTTGCTTCTACATTTCTGTTTGTGAACAGATGAAACATAACATGTGTCCTTCTAACTATAGTGGACAAGGTTATTTTTGTAACTTTTGACAGAGGCAGCTTTTTCCCTCTGTTTTAAGAATTCATGCTAAGCTAGGCTAACATCCAGCTCCATATTTAACAGATACATGAAACTCCACCTTCTTATCCAACTTGAATTAAGACCTGTTTAATGTTTCTGTTTGTGTACAGATTAACCTACATATAACATGTTTCTTGTAGCTTTAGTGGTAGATGATAGATTTTTTACTTTTGACAGAGCCAGGCTAGCTGTTTCCCTCTGCTTCAAGACCTTATGCTAAGCTATGCTAACGTCCAGCTCCATATTTAACACACATACATGAAACTAATTGTCATGTTTTTGTCTAACTTGAATAAACACCTGTTAAACTAATCCTAGATCTGTCCGTGTTTTATTGTGAATGATTTGTCAGCACCCTAAATTGTTTGAAGGTTTTGCTGCAGTCCTTTCAGCAAACACAATAACATTCATACTGACCTCACACCACGCTGAAGAAATGACATATTCAAGCCTTGAAAACACATGAGTGTAAAAATATAAAGTACCTGTCATAAATATATATCTATATAAAGATATATATTTATGTTTATATTTATAACTTTATATAGAAATTAATATTCTCTGTTCAGTCTCTCTTTCCTTTTTCGTCTGTTGAGATAAAAGTTTTTCTTCTCCTGGAAATCGGAGACGAGACAAACGACAAACACAGAATCACAGCGGCCTCCATTTCCCATGAGTCTTTGCTGATGTCCCTGTGCACTGAAAAAAACTTTAAAGTTGACTTTAATTAAATGTATTATAACGACAGATTTCACATAACTGTATTAGGTTAGTTGAAAGCAAATATATTAAGTTGAACCTAATATATTTGATTTCAACTTAATATTATTGCTTTCAACTAACCTAATACAGTTATGTTAAATTTGTTGACATGATATATTTAATTAAAGTCAAGGTGTCAGTTTTTCAGTGTTACTTGAGCCTACGACGCCTTCTCATTACTCGATCTGTACTGAAAACAAGATTTTTCTGCGCATGTGCGAATATGCCGCTACTTCCCATGATGCTAACTGAATAATGTCAAAGCGATTTACAACAGTTTTCTGGGATTTTAGATAAAATAACGTTATCGTTTGTTTGATTGGTTACAAAATAGAAGACTTATTGTGTCCTTATTTAAATAATGTCTTGTTTTGGTAAAGAATGTCTAGAATAATTTAGTCATTCATTAACAAAGAAAAGTGTTGGAAGAAGTACTCTGAGCCTTAAAGTATAAATAGTATGCTCCTAACATACTCTTCTGCATGTTAACGTCCTGATTTCAAATGTGTACTTAAAAGTGCAAAGTATTTGCATCAATTGTAATTGAAGTACAAAAAGTAAAAGTAATCGTTAGAACAATTTTGAGCTAAATGTACTCCAAGCATCAAAAGTAAAATGACTATTTATGCAGAATGGATATTTTCACAGTATTATATTACGGTAATTATATGATCCTGTTTTTATACATGTAAGAACATTTTAGTATGACAACATGGACCACATTTAGATACTACAAATACTCTGTAGATTACTAGTACAGTATTTTATGTTTTGGAAGTTGTTGTTGACAGTAACGTTTTTTAAAAACCTCTGTAATTTTTCCACAACGCCGTAAATCTAAGCAAATGTTTAGAACAAATCTGGTTTACGGTACAGATCGGGTAGTAGTGTGTTTGCCAGCAGTGTGAACCAGGAAATGTAAAGTACCCCAGAGTTTTATGTTAGAAACGTTTAGTACTGGTTCCCAGCTCAAAGAAAAGGCCAGATCCTAACTTGCATACGTTGGGCAATTTGTACAATTGTCATAAGTTGCAATAACTGACATTTTTAAGATCGAAAAGTCAGTTTTCAGTCCCCTTGAATCTTCAAATCAACCCAAAATTCATCAAAATCAGCCCACAGCGAGTAGCCTACAAATGCGGCCACTTTCTGGTTAAAATGGCCATTTATGATCCTGAAAATGTCAGAAATAAATTAATTCAACATCCTCAATAACCCAGAAAACCACTCCAAAATTGTCCAAATCTGCGAAGCCATGTTCAACCTATTGTCTGAATAGCCTTATTCATTTTAACTTATGCTAATTGTGCAAGCCTTATTAATGCAACTTCTGCAAATTGCCCAACATATGCAAGTTAGCATCGGGCAATTTCTATGTGCTGGGGACCCACACTATACATTTCTGACATAAAACTTTGCGGTACTCAACAATTCGGGCATTACAATAGGACTCTATGAGCTGGCAAATGTACTAAAGTTAATTCAAAGATTCCTCAACCTATTGTCTGATTAGCCTTATTAATGCAATTTATGCAAATTGCCCAACATATGCAAGTTAGCATCCGGCAGTTTCTATGTGCCGGACCCATACTATACATTTCTATCATAGAACTTTGGGGAACTCAACATTTCAAGGTTCACAATAGATCTCTATGAGCTGGCAATTAAACTAAAGTGACGCCCTCAACCCACAGCGTTGTGTTGACCAATGCAAGTTAGCATCCGGCAGTTTCTTTGTGCTGCGGACCCATACTATACATTTCCATCATAAAACCTTGGGGTACTCAACACTTCCAGGTTCAAAACAGTACTCTATGAGCTGGCAAATGGACTAAAGTTAACTAAAAGACGCCTCAACCCACAGCTTTGTGTTTCCCGCCGCAGCACCGGCACGCCACCCCGCAGCGGTAGCACGCTCTGAGCGGGGCGTAGCAGCACATGCAGGGCGCCAGCAGCGACAAACCCACCAGCGCCGTCCATCGCAAACAGAATCTCTCATCGTTTGTGTCGCACGAACACGGGTCGGAGAAATCCCCCTCCGTGTCCGACATGCAGTGGTAGAGCAGGCTGTCGGCGCACCACATGAAGCTGACCCTCCGGATGCACGTCTGGATGGGGTCCGGTGCTTCCTGGCAGCGACCTCGTCCATTATCCTCGTGGTTAAACATGTCCTGACAGTAAACGCACCGCGAACGCTCTCCGTCCTCCTTCCTCCGCTTGCCTTTGGGCTGCAAGGAAAGGCAAGGCAAGTTTATTTATATAGCACCACAAGGCAATTCAAAGTGCTTTACACAAATGAAAGACAATAAAGGTCACCTATAATGCAAAATCCACTTCTTCATGTCTTTCTTCATCAACATGTGTCCCCTCTGAATAAAGAGATTCTGAAATTTTCAGGAAAAAGATTCTCTCTCTTTTTGTCCTGATCCATTTATATAAAAACCTGTCTGAAAATGAGCTGATAAGATTTTGCCACTTTATGATGTCATAACGATTTTTTGGCTTGAGTAACCATTAGCCATGTTTGTATATATCTGAGACCTATTATATATTGATGAATAATCAATATAATAGGTGACCTTTAAGATCCTGGCCATATTTGTGTAGCATATACAATTAATTGCTCCCAGACATTCATGTGGCTCGCTAGTTTTGGACCCCATCTGTAACCTCTATAGAGTGGTGCAGTGACGAGTCCTAAAACCCGGAAGTGAGTTAGCATTTTACCACTTCCGGTTCCCTCGCCTCAGAGCCAACGGGAATTCTCCATAGAATTTTGGAAAATAGCTGGAAATAAGGTCTGTGGTTGACACAAATTGAAGAGACGGATAACGTTTGTTTCTACGACATTAAATCCATCAGCAGTGACCCCACTGGTGATTTCTGAAGAGTTGACGTTTCTGAAAAACGATGGTTGTTACCAAGTGGCTGAATAGGACTACAGAAGTTGTGGAGGACGTTGTACGTCATTACGCCGAACACGTAAACACTCCTCTAAGTTAGTTTGCCCCTGTTCTGCTTGAAAGCAAGTACCTGCCTCCTGGAAACTGTTCAAACAAACGCTTCAAGTTGTACCATTTTGAATCTGTATTTTTGAATATCGATCTAAAGTTGGCGTGACGTTGAAGCAGCGACCCTGCTGTAGTACGTTTATAGCATAACGTTAGCATTTTGCTTCTGGCGATTAGATTTATGATTAGAAAATTATAAAAGTAGGGTAGACATGTGGAGATTATCCGGCTGAACAAAACGTGCATTTATCAAACAGGCTTGTTTTCCACAGACCTTATTTTTTACAATATTCCAAAATCTTATGGAGAAATCCCATTGCCTTTTCGTAGAAGGAACCCTTGCACAGCTTACTTCCGGGTCGGCCTACAAAGATACGTCATCACTGCACTACTCAATACACGTAGGGGACTTTAACCACCTGCAGGGCTCTCGGCTGCACCGTCACCACCGCCCTTCGACCCCCGATCGACTCCATGCAGTTAGATTTGCCGGTGCATCCCCTCGTCACGTTGCAGCTCAGCGGGTACGGGTAGGTATAGTCGTGTTTGGGCGCCTCGCTCTTGGCGAAATGTACGTAGGCGTCGAGGTTTTCTGGCTGTGAGATTTTAGCCCGCGTGGAGTTGGCGTGGCGGTAATCCTCGTAGCCGGTGGTGAGCCACGTTCTCTCGCGGGGGTTGATGCGTACGATCTCTTCCTCCTCCACGTGGAAGCTGACGTGACGAGGGAACATGTGCACCGCCTGAAGAGACACAGAGGAGGGGTTTAAAATGTTATCCTCCAGAGATACATGAGGTCAGCAGACAAAGAAACACAGCTGCTAACGGTGGTCTGCTGTTAGTACTCTTTATGGTAAGTTGTCCTAAATGTGTTCCACAAATACATCTCAACATACTATGTAACATTTTAAATAATGTTTCTGTACAATCTGGATCAAAGGAGTTCATGGTTTTCAGAGTGTCAAACTCAATTTCATCGCGGGCCACATCAACAGTTTGTAACTTTAAGACTTTATAAATATACATATCTAAATATATAATATATATAAAATAATGTATTACATAATTGCCAATAATTGCAAGTCTCTTCAGTGCGCATGTCACAAAATGAGATGCATTGTGGGACATGTAGTTTATGGACAACGTGCTTCTGTAAAGCGGAGCGCAACCATATAATAAACATATTATATTCTTTGCAAGCTCTTGTGGGGCCACAGAAAATGAAGTCACGGGCCTTGAGTTTGACACCCCTGTGTTAAATCCTAGATGTTATCCTTCAGAGATACATGAGGTCAGCAGACACAGAAACACAGCTGCTAACGTGGTCCGATGTTACTGACTCTTCGTGGTAGGTTGTCCTCAATGTGTTCGACAAATACATCTCAACATACTGTATGTGCAACATTTTAAATAATGTTTCTGTACAATCTGGATCAACGTTTTTTTGTCATTGTTTCACCTTAGCTGAACTCCTTCCTTTAGTGTAATAACATGAACATGTCTGCACTGATCACTCAGCTTTTTGAAAGTTCCTTCTGTGTTTTTTAGTTTCTAAATCATCTTTACATATGTTTTCTGAAGAACAACTTTTGTTACAGTGAAGCATTTCATCACTGAATGAAAACAATTGTATTATTATACGGAAAATAACGTGTTTCTAGAACCAAACCGAAAACCAGAGGCACTTTGGCCATTTGCTTTAATCTATAATGCATTTTACAAACCTTTTGAAAAATAGAAGAGGCATGACTTGTGACACTGCTCCATTCAGGGTGCTGCTATTATGCATTTGATCTCATCAGATAGGCTCTGCTACATTAAATTAACATTACTTTTTAGGGTTCATTAAGATACATTTAATTACATAAACCTATGTTTATCTGTGATTTCATGTCATTATGGTAAAAAAAAAAAAAGCATTTCCGATCTTGGGTTATTCAAACCCTAGCTAACCTGATCCAGGAAGTAGTGATCCGAGGGCCTGTGGTGCTCGTAGAAATGTCCCAGAATGCAATGGTGTCGACGCGCCTCGCAGAAGTTGTGCGGGGCGAGCGAGTGCATGGCCGGCTCTCTCTCTCTCTTCTGGGACGAGTTGGACGAGCTGTCGGTGGCCGTCTGCAGGACAGAGAGGACACGAGTGACGACAGACCAACATGAGGACTTTACACACTGTGTGCAACATTTTGAAACTATGATGAGGACACCTTGAAGTTCAAATCTTCCTATTTTCTTTTCAGCTTCATTCCTCTCTGAAACCACCTGAGCTCCACACCACCAGACTTTTGCAATTAGTCAAAAGACCTCCAGAACCGAAGCAGTGTGTCAGAAAACGTCTTGGGTCTGTGTTAAACGAGTCCCGGCCCGGTGTTTTGCTCAGCATCGTGTGTCGAGTCATCTTCGGGGTTGATCAGAGCTGAAGCTTTCATGTGGCTCACTGAGATCACACAAGAAGACTTCCTTCAAACACCAGAAAAAACTTCACAGCAAAATAAATGAACTGCTTTCTCACATTTCTCCGTTGTGAGAGGAAAGACTTCTCCAACAAACACATTCCCGCAGTTCCTCCACATCTCCTCCGTTATTTATGGACCTCCAGAGGAAAGTGTGGAGGAAATTCTTAAGAGAAAGTGATTAATGATTCATGGACAAGTTTGTCTTTTGTTCTATTTAATAAAGTAATAATAAAGTCATCCTCAGAGGATAAAGAAGTTCTGCACCCCGAACACACAGCTCACAGTCACACTATAAACTCATGAAAGGAAACAGCCAACAGGTCCTACATCCCACCATTAAACCATAAAACCCCGTTGCCCTTAACATTTGCAAATCCACCTTTTACACTTCCTTTTGCCCTTTGCACATATGTCTCTGTTAAACACATACAAGACTACAAATACAATTTAACAGTAAAAGGCAATCAGAGTATAAGACTATATGTTTTAAAAGATGATATGATCATTTGACTCGACAGAAAGCACGTCCTCATGACAGGGAGGGTTTTTATTGACTCCTGACGAAGGTTGATCTATATCCTCAGGCGTCTCTTCCTCCTCTTCCTTCTCTTCAGGGTGCCAGACGTGCCGACAGGACGGAGAGGAATGATCTGCAGCCACGTTCCCCTCACTCAGCTTTAAACGAGGCCAGCTAAGTAAACAAGAGCTCGGTGACGGATTAGTGACAGGTTAGACTCTCTTTTCCAGCGCTGGACATCCTGAGGAAACAATACACCCTTTTTCCTTTGAAGCCACTCGAAAGACGGAAAGACCGGACCCTGAAAGAGGAAGCAAGAGCTTGACCCCTCATCGGACTCAGGATGGAGGGAAGAAGCTTGTGGTACATTCAACTCAGATGACTCCAGTATAACCAGTATCATTAGTGGCAAAATCAGCATCTCTTGTTAAAATCGAAACCCCAAATGATTTTCACCCTCTCACAATATAGAAAGGTTTGAACGTCCCCATGCAGAGGAACCCACGTTCAAATCTGACCTGGGAACATTTACGCATGTCTCCCATTTTCAAAACTGTCACTCTCCGAATAATGAGATGTACTTCTTCTTGGACCTCTCTCTGCCTTTCTACTGAATGCAGACACAGGTACATTCTCACATGTACGCTGCACGCCTCACAGTATTACAGAAATGGTTAAAACAAATGGATGTGCATTTTTGTCGTTAGAGAGATTATCACATGTGTTGAGGAAACTCTTGATAACTGTGTTCGGGAAAGGTCCCAATAGCAGTGTACATGACAGAGGAATGGTTAATTGTTCAATCTATCTGGGGTGCACATCAAAAAGCTATGCATGGGAGGAAATATCACCTTGGTTATTTTAGCTAAAGGAACAAAAAATTAGGAAAACGTAGGAAATGTCTGTGTCTAAAAAAAAACCCTCCCAACTGAAGTGTGTGTGCTGCTCCTGTGTTGGTGACAAACTCCAAACAGGACGGCGACATGTGTCTCCAGGATATCAAACCCCTCCCGGCCATCGAACTTCCTGTCTGACACCCGCCCCCCCCCAAGGCCACAGACACACAGTCTGCTCGTAGCGCTGAAAACAAAAGCAGCATCTCCTGTCCAAATCCCCTCCCTAATGTTCTCCTGACACGTTATAGAAACGTGGAAAATGAAAAACAGATATCTCTCAATATCGCGAAATAAATGACAAAATCTGGGACATTGACTTCACTCCAGTGGTCACGTTATCCTCAGAGTTCACCGGTTGTTTAACAGCTGGAGGAGGAAGAGTTTCTCACCGTAAAGACGTCGTCATCTCCGAGCTCCGCCTCATTCTGCAACGTCGATGAAGACGTGGTCGACCCTGCAGGAGGCACAGGAGAATCAGTGTGACAGGAAGTGAGACAACGTTATCTTCATTTGTTCAGTATAACAGAAATATCCAGAAAGTATCAGCCATGTTTGGTTAGCATTCGGGTGCTTTCACATGATATAGTCCAACGCAGGAAGTCATTGTGGTTCGTGTTCTATTTAGTCTGGTTTGGTTTCACAATTTGGTTTTCCTCATTTTGTTCCTATAGCTAAAATAACCAAGGTGACATTTCCTCCCATGCATAGCTTTTTGATGTGCATCCCACATACATTTAACAATTAACCATTCCTCTTTCATGCACACTGCTATTTGGACCTTTCCCTAACACAGTTATCCAGAGTTTCTCTTAACACATGATGTGGGGGAAACTTCTGAAGCACTTGGAGTCAGGACTCAGAGAGACACGAGGAGAGCTGGAGCTCTGATGGAGTCAGGACTCAGAGAGACACGAGGAGAGCTGGAGCTCTCATGGAGTCAGGACTCAGAGAGACACGAGGAGAGCTGGAGCTCTGATGGAGTCAGTACTCAGAGAGACACGAGGAGAGCTGGAGCTTTGATGGAGTCAGGACTCAGAGAGACACGAGGAGAGCTGGAGCTCTGATTGAGTCAGGACTCATACCTCATTCACACCAACGGTGTTTAAGGGCCGGTTCGGACCTGTTCACACATGTTTCCTGTTCACACCGCAGCGGAGCAGCCT